AGTGTTGTAGTTCACGCTGAGAGGTATTGCCATAGCATTTTATTTGTCATATTCCTTACTAGAGATAGACTAGGAGCACTAGTAGAAAACTGTTGGGATTTGCGGAAGCTCGAACCAACAACCGAAAATGTTTTCCAAGAGGGGTTTGATCGGTTTTTGTGTTTAGGGAGTAAGGATATTTAAAGATAGAAAATTGCACAACGATTTATAGTGGTTCGACTTCTCAACCAAGTCTACATCCACTACCTTAGCTCATCACCAAGGATTTTCCAACAAATTCACTAATTTGTTCTTTCTTTTTACAGGAAAAAGAGATAACCTTTACAACTCCCTAGTCTTTACGGGATAAACTAGAACATTTCCCCTAGCTTTTCACGAGCTAAGCTAGAACCAAAACCCCTTTACAATGAAAGGAAAATGTAAACAAGAAAACCTCTCTAAGGTGGGTGTTTACAAGATTGATCTCACAATAACAAAATATTTACAAGAGAAAGATAGAATAAGATTGAAAAGCTCTTCTCTTGTGTTTGATTGCTTGGATAGTTGTTCTCTTACTTCTTCAAGTGTCCTCAGCTTGTATTTATAGCTTGGAATGAGTTTGAAGTCGTATATAGCCATTGGGGATGTTTTGGAGCCGTTTAGGGATTGTTTTTCTACAAAAATAGGCTGCCCAAAATAGAGTGTATCGGTACACTATCAAGGTGCATCGATACCCCTTCATTAAATTCAAATTTTATGATCGTTGAGCTATGTGAACAGTGAGTGTATTGGTACACTGTAACAGTGCATCAGTACACCTTTTACATTCGATGTTTTTGAGTATCGGTATTGTTCATAAATGTTCACACAGTATCGGTAATGTTCACACAGTACTCATAAATTCAACTAAGTCCAAAAACATTTTACCTTTAAATTTGTTATATCGAAACATAATTCAACAAAAACCTTGTTGAGCAACATATTCTCATAGAATACATAAACCTTTCTAGACATAGAATATTGTAAACAACATTTTTTATTTTTTATTTTTTATTATTATTTATTATTAAAAAATTATATAAAAATTGTATTAGTTGGGGTATAATAACCCTAACCAACCACTTTGTAAGGGCTGATTTTTGGTAAGAAAATGGAAGCAAATAAAAAGGGTGAGAAAGCTTTATTTCTCCATGTTTTTTTCTTTCTTTGGACATGAGCATGAAAAGGATAGTAAGGGAGAGGTGTATGTATTTTCTCTTTTCTCTAGGGTGAGCATTCTCCAGTCGCGTTTAGGCAGTGCACCATCACCGGTGGCCTTTTCGACCGTGTGTGTGGAGGGGAGTTTGGTTTTGCTCTAAGTTTGGTTCAGTTTTCCTTTAGGAGAGGGGAGTCCTGGGTTCTAACCTTGGGAGAGTTTGGTTCGGTGGCCACCTTCGGTGATGGCCCTTGAGAGTATAACTGCTGTTCGTGGCGGTGAGTGGTCGGCCATGGCCATTTCGATCGAAACTAGAGAGGAAGAGAAATGAGACTTTTAGGGGTGGTTTTGCTTTGGTTGAGTGCTCCCTCAGTCACCCGTGTTATTGCCAGAGTTTGGAAGGGCGTTGGTGTTCGGTGCTCGACTGTCGTTCGGCCTTACGAGGGATTAAGGCGTCGTTAGTGTTGGGGCTTAGCTTTAACCCTCTTGGCCGCATGAGAGAATGAGGAGGAATTTATTTTAATTTGGGTTTTCACCTGTAATGAGAATTGGGGGTTGTTGTTTTAAAATTTTTGGTTTAATCATGCGTAAGTTGCCTAGTTTCAGCATAAATTTAATTTTGTCACCTATTTTAGGGATTAATCGTGTATAAGTCCTCCCAGTTTCAGTGTGTTTCACACTTTGGTCACTATCAGGGGAAAATCACCTTTAAGTTCCTCATATTTTAGCTCCTTTTGCACTATGATAATTTACTTTCTTATTTATTTCGAATATGCATATTGATTTTACTAAATTTTAATTTGGTCACTACTTTTGCTATTTTATTTGTTATAATTTAGCTGTTGTTTTAGTATTTGTTGCACTATGGTCACTGCTCCTATTATTATTTATTTGTTTCAAATATGACGTATTAATTCCATTATTTATTTATTGTTATTAGTTTTCGAATTATTATACGACCTTGTGGTGACCTGATTCAGGGTACGATTCATATTATAATGGTCTGAACTCTTTTAACATCTAACCGTAACTTTTAAGCACTAACTTTTTTTATTTATGTATTTTATTTTATGTTCGAATAATTATACGACCTTGTGGTGACCCGATTCGGGGTATGGTCCACTTTATTATGGTTCAGACTATGTTAATATCTAACCGCTAACTTTTAACCACTAACTTTTTATTTATTTATTTTATTTTATTTTTGAATTATTATACGACCTTGTGGTGACCCGATCCGGGGTATAATCCACATTATTACGATCCAAACACTGCTAACATTTCTAACTCTAACCACTAACCGCTAACCGCTAACTTTTTATTTATTTATTTACTTATTTATTTATTTTATGTTTGAAATATCGTACGACTTTACGACGATCTACCCCGGGTACTACTCGCATTATTTACGGTCCGGGTTAAATATTAAAAATTAATGCTAAGCTTTTATTTTATTGCTTTTTCATTTTTGTTATTTAATTTTATGCACATTTAAATTTCTTCCTTTTACTTTTTATTTATTTAATTTCATTACTTTAACTTACTATTTATTATTATTATTTATTATTTGTTTTTACCCTTCATTTTCTTAGTACTTTAATTTTAGTCCTTTTATATATTTTAATTGTCTTTAATATTTGTGTCCTTTTAATTTAATCCTTGATGGATCACCTTTGTTTTAGATTTAGTCCATAATCTTTTAATTATTCGATTCATGTTTAGTTGTTAAATTAAGAGAATTCTTAATTTGGTCATTGCTTTTGCTCGAGGTTCCAATTTAATTATTCGAATTGCAATATTGATTAAAATTAATTTAAGTTAACGTTAGAACCTCTACTTTAAATTTCAATTTCAATTTAGACCCTTTAATTTAGAGAATAATTTGAGTTGACCCTCGCCTAAATGCTCAAGAGACCATCTCAATTATTTGATTCAATAATTGGTTAAAATCAAATAGGATTAATATTAGAGCCTATATTTTTTAGTTTATGCCTCTAGTTTCTTTAATTTTCATAATTCAACACTTTAAGCTAGAGAAAACCTTAATTTATCCTTAGTTTAATTAGGGTTAATAATAAACTGTTTGATTGCATTTTATTTTGAAACCCAAGACAATGTTCGCTTAATAGGGAGTCAATAATATATCTCCCGCAAGCATGCTCAGGGAGTGACCACTGGTGATTCCCAAAATATGTCAACATCCTTTTCAAAAATGCATCATGATTTCTAAAATTAAGGCAATGTCCGATTATTGGGCACAATAGTTGATCTCCCGCATATATTCATGCTAGGGGGCGAATGATATTGGCTTTAATAAACGATTACACTTTCCAACTTTGCATTCGTAATGATTTTTTTATTAGATAAAGTTCAAACTCTAAATTTTTTATTCTAAATATAGGGTAATCAACTAAGTACCAATTTTTGGGCGCTTATAGGGTGATAATCATTCCACACGCGTAACCTACTCCTGAACCTGATTTTTGGATTTTTGTAGACCCTAAAACTTGGTATTTTGATAAAAATAAAACTTTTTATTAAAACCGCCTGATTTTTATGGTGTCTCAATCGCACCTTAAAATGATTGATGGCAACTCCCCACATTTCAAAACTTTTTCAAAGAAAAACCCCAAATCGATACTAATTTTTCCTCACCCAGATGAAAAACGGTATCAAAAAATATTAATTACCATGTTCAAACTCCTTACACATAAATTTTTCTACAGTATTCTCCTTATCACTTGTCTATACCATTAGATATATATTTACTAGTGATAACCTTGTGCAATAACTCAACTTGAAATCTCACTAATTCATATAGAGATGGTACTCACTCACTATTATATTATTTAATTAACTGCGTAAAATTACACATATTTTGTGTTCAACTTATAGCACTCGCAATGCAACACTGATATCAAGCTACAACTCAATTTAGAGGCTGACAAATTCGAACTTTACAGGAAGCAACTTGTTAGGGCAAACTGGTTAAAAAATGGGGATAATAATACGAAATTTTTCCATACTTATGTCACTCAGAGAAAGCTCAATAATAGTATTCTATTCCTTGATAAGGATAATGGTACACAGTTGGAAGGCGATGATGTGATATATGAGGAGGCTAGCGTTTATTTCTAGAATCTATTCTCTACAACGGATAGTGAGATGGATAGCTTGATCCTAGTGGGTATTATGCCATCTATTACGACTGACTTGAATAACAGTCTCCTAAAAAATTGAACTTTTGAGGAAGTGACTTTAGCCGTGAAAGTCCATGTGCCACCTTAAAGCATCTAGACCGATGGTTAAAGAGTTGTCTTTTATCATAGGTTTTGGCATGTCGAGAGGTCGTGGGTTATTGTATTGATTTGTGTTACGGCCATGCAAAGATGTCCTTGGTAAACTTGACGCATATTGTGCTAATCCCTAAGGTAAAATCTCCTTCAACTTTGTCACATTTTCACCCTATTAGCCTGTGTAATGTACTCTATAAGATAACCTCTAAGTGATGAGAATGCAAAATCTACTGCACTTGTCTTGTTTGTCCCTTGCCGTAATATTCATCTCGTTTCCATTAATGAGCATCCATTGAAGGTAACCCTTGAGAAGACTGACTCATACATATTTTACATATACCGAGAAGTCATCTACCTTATGGTAATAAAAATAAAGCTACCAGATTGTGCAGAAATAAAAGATCAAAAATATACTAAATAACAAGCTTATATCTAACACATCCTCAAACTGCATTTTTCATCTTGAACTTATTATACATAAAAATCACACATATTACACATAACTTGTACGATTATCTTTTTTTCTCTCTTTTCACCTTGCATCCGAAGACAATGTAAGTGCTCTATCACTGGCAACAACATGCAGACTTTGTTTTACGTTTAGCTCTTCTTACAGGAACATTTTTGTCCAATGCTTCAGTTGAACCATCAAAACCCTGATAACTTTCTTGAGGAATATGCTGACGCTGAAGATGATCAGAACCCTGATACCTTTCTCGGGGCTGATGCTGTTGTTGAAGATGATTAGAACTCTGATCGTTTTCCTGAGGATCCTGGTTCCATTGTTGAAGATGATCGGAACTCCGAAAACTTTCTTGAGGCGGATGCTTTTGTTGATTAGAACTCTGATCACTTTTTTGAGGTGGATGCTGTTGTTGAACGGAATTCTGATAACTTTCTTGAGACTGATATTGTTCTTGTAGATCAGAATTTTGACAACTTTCCTTAGGTCGATGTTTTTGTTGAAGATTATCAGAACTTTGATAACTGTCCTTGGGTTGATGCTTTTGTTGAAGATGATCAGAATTCTGGTAACTTTCTTGAGACTGATGTTGTTGTTGAAGATGGTCGGAACTCTGATAACTTTCCTTAGGTTGATGCTGTTGTTGAAGATGATCAGAACTCTGATAACTTTCCTCAGGCCTATGCTGTTGTTGAAGATGATCAGAACTCTGATAACTTTCCCAAGGTTGATGCTGTTGTTGAAGATGATCAGAACTCTGATAACTTTCCCGAGGCTGATGCTGTTGTTGAAGATTATCGGAACTCTGATAACTTTCCTGAGGCTGATGCTGTTGTTGAAGATGAATGGAACTTTGATAATTTTCCTGAGGCTGAGGCTGTAGTTTAAGATGATCAAAGCTCTGATAACTTTTCTGAGTCTGATGTTGTTGACGTTGATCAGAACTCTGATAACTTCCCTGAGAACCCCGATGCTGTTGTTGAACGGAACTGTGATGACCTACTCGAGCCCTATGATCTTGTTGAAGATGATCGGAACGCTGATAACTCTCCTTAGGTAGATGCTTTTGTTGAAGATTATCCGAACTCTGATAACTTTCTTGAGTCTGATGCTGTTGTTGAAGATGATCAGAACTCTGATAACTTTCCCGAGGCTGATGCTGTCGGCTCTTGACACTGTTGTCACTGCTCGTTCGCCCGTCACTGTAATATTCAACCTGGTTCCTTTGATGAGCATCCATTAAGGGTGACCCTTGATAAGATCGACTCTTCTTTATACTTTTCAGGGAACTCAACTCTCTTGTTTGTCTGATACTTCTTGGTCTTGTTTGGTGCCTTAGTTTCTTTGATATTTATTGAACATGAAAGCAGAATTTCTAATCGAAAGATGATTCAATAATTTAGTTATTGGTTCTAGTAAATCGGTCAGGAATAAAGCAACCATATGCCCAGGAAAAAAAAAGAATAAAGGAACCAGATTACAGAAGTAAAAGAATAAAAAACTCAGCAGCTTGTATTTGACACTTCCTCAAACAGCAGCTGTGGCATTTTTGGTAATCTATCTGCTCCAACTTTCTTGAAATTGTAGTAGGGATGCATAGTTAGATGCGAGTACGGACATATAATCTTTCAAGGGCTCTTCAAATATAAGGAAATTCTGAAAATTTTCTGATATTGTGTTAATGGTAAAATTGTTGTTCTTTTGCAGCTATGAGATATGGTATCTGACTCAGGATCATATGCTGGTTGAAAGCTAATTGGTCGAATATTTCTAAACCATGTGGATATCTATGTAACATCTCGGACTATATCGTATCTGCTTTCAATACCTTTCTAAAGTTATCTTATCTCTGACCAGTTTGAGACTTAACATCAGTGGAGCCTTCAAAGATAATTGTGTCTATGCGGCCATCGGAGGCGTCCTTCATTATGAGTCTGGTTAGGCCCTGATTTTTTTTTATGCGCCAATGAGTGTGAAGATGGGAATCATCTTCTTTATTTTCATTGATATCCGAGGCAACTTTGTTAGAGATGATCTTAGCCTGCTGTTGTTGGAGATGATCGGAGCTTGGGTTATTTTCCTGTTGAGGCCGATATGCTGCTGCTGACTCTTGTCAGCGTTCTCATGGTTGCTTGTTTGTCCAACGCAATAATCTTTGGCCCGGCTCCATTGATGAGCATCCATTAAAGGTAACCCTTGAGAAGATTGACCTTGTTTAAAAAGGAATGCCGGGAACTCAACTCCCTTCGTTTTCTTCTCTCACGAACTTGGTGTAGTTTAGTCTTTCCCTTTTTAATATTTATTGAGAATCAAACCAGAATTTTACAGTGAAAGATTATGCTATAATTTAGCTTCATTCCTTCAAGAATAAATTGGCATGGCTGTACGAAAATGAAAGCAATTTTGATTACTTTTCCAAGGAGGTCGAGGCCGAGGCTGCCGGCACTTGTCTTGTTTGTCCCTTGCTGTAATATTCATCTCGGTTCCATTAATGAGCATCCATTGAAGGTAACCCTCGAGAAGACTGACCCATCTTTTTACATATACCGAGAAGTCATCTTCCTTATGGTAATAAAAATAAAGCTACCAGATTGTGCAGAAATAAAAGAACAAAAATCTACTAAATAACAAGCTTATATCTAACACATCCTCAAACTGCATTTTTCATCTTGAACTTAAATCACACATATTACATATAACTCGTACGATTATCTTTTTTTCTCTCTTTTCACTTTGCATCCGAAGACAATATAAGTGCTCTATCACTGGCAACAACATGCAGACTTTGTTTTACGTTTAGCTCTTCTTACAGGAACATTTTTGTCCAATGCTTCAATTGAACCATCAAAACCCTGATAACTTTCTTGAGGCATATGCTGATGCTGAAGATGATCAGAACCCTGATACCTTTCTCGAGGCTGATGCTGTTGTTGAAGATGATTAGAACTCTGATCGTTTTCCTGAGGAGCCTGGTTCCATTGTTGAAGATGATCGGAACTCCGAAAACTTTCTTGAGGCGGATGCTTTTGTTGAGTAGAACTCTGATCACTTTTTTGAGGCGGATGCTGTTGTTGAACGGAATTCTGATAACTTTCTTGAGACTGATACTGTTGTTTAAGATTATCAGAACTTTGATAACTTCCCTTAGGTTGATGCTTTTGTTGAAGATGATCAGAATTCTGGTAACTTTCTTTAGACTACTGTTGTTGTTGAAGACGGTCGGAACTCTGATAACTTTCCTTAGGTTGATGCTTTTGTTGAAGATTATCAGAACTCTGATAACTTTCCCGAGACTGATGCTGTTGTTGAAGATGGTGGGAACTCTGGTAACTTTCCTTAGGCCGATGCTTTTGTTCAAGATGATCAGAACTCAGGTAACTTTCTCGAGACTGATGTTGTTGTTGAAGATGGTCGGAACTCTGATCACTTTCTCGAGACTGATGCTGTTGTTGAAGATGGTTGGAACTCTGATAACTTTCCTTAGGTCGATGCTTTTGTTCAACATTATTAAAACTAATCAAACTTTCTTGAGACTGATGCTGCTGTTGATGATCATCGGAGCTCTGATAACTTCCTCGAGAAGGCCGATGCTTCCGGTTCTTGTCTGCGTTGTCGCTGCGCGTTCCCCCGTCGCTGTAATCTTCAACCCGGCTCCTCTGATGAGCATCCATTAAGGGCGAACCCTTGAGAAGATTCACTCTTCCTTTTCACTTTTACAGGGAACTCAACTCTTTTGTTTCAATAATGGATCGAGAATAAAGCGACCAGCTTGTATTCGACTCTTCCTCAAACGACAGCTGTGGCAGTTTTGATAATGTCCAACTTCTCGGACTCTACCGTTGCATACGGTTTTAAATGAGACGAGACACATTGCGAGTCACTCGAGATTATTTCGGTCAAAATTTGATCAATATTCGAATCAAATGAACTCGAGTTCGACTCGAATTTTTAACGAGCTAAAACGAACTACTTAATACTCGACTCGAAAAGTTCGCGAGCTACTCGAAAAAAATTGTTATAATTTTAGATTTTTTAAAATTGCATTATTAAATATATATTAAAAATATATTATTGATAATTATAAATTTTTTAAAAATATATTTTTAAATGTAATATAAAATTTTTGTAGGTTCAAATTCGAGTTTGAGTTCGAGCTTAAACCGAGCTCAAAATCGACCGAGGTCAAAATCGAGCTCTTGAATTTTTTTTGAGTTCGAGCCTTTTTGAGTTCGAGTCGAGATTCAATATTATATTTCGAGTTCGAGCTGAGCTTGATAATTTTTAGCTCACGAGTTTTCGAGTCGAGCCTAATTTTAAACTTTTCGAGTTTGAGTCGAGCTCAGCAATACTCGAGCTCGACTCAGCTCGTTTACACCCCTACAGTTGCAGCTTCGAAGATAGAGACCTTTCCGAAGTTATTCGATCTTGAACTGCATTGATATTTAACCTTGACAGAGCCTCCGGAGATAATTGTGTCTAGGGTAAGCAAAACTTGACTCGACTATAAAATCGATTTTTTTTATATCGAGTTATTTGAGTCAACTCGAATTATTAATTCAGTTTTTGTGTTTGACTCGAGTTGAAATTTTGAAATTTTGAGTTACTCGAAAAATCAAAAATTTGACTAAGTATTTTGACAGTTTTATGATTTGGTCTATGATTTCATTATTCATTCAATTTCTCTTTCATTTTAAGTTAATTTTTTTTACCAAATTTGAATCACATGTTCCTAAATCATTGTAGAATACCTATGAACTTTTAATTCTTCTTTTTGAGAACAAATTTTTTATTTTTAAGTTTAGTCCCTCAATTTTTTATAATTTCCTTATTTATTCAATTCATGCTTTATTTTAAGTCTGTTTTCTATCAAATTTGAACCACATGCTCGTATATCAGAATAGAATACCTATGTAATTTCAATTCTTACTTTTTCATCAGAAATATACTCTCTTTTTTTATTTAGTCCCTTAATTTTGTATTTTACTTAATTTGGTCTTTTGACTATAATTGTTAGCGAATTATTTCTTCCCATCAATTCATTGATCCTTTATACTCTCATCAATATTTTATTCTCAAAATACTTTGTCGAAATATAATATTATGAATATGTTTTATAATTTTAGATTGTATTTGATACATTAAATAACATTATAGTGTGAAAAGAATATAAAATACATAGAAACTCGAATAACTCGACTCGAATTTTTTAAACCCGACTCGAAATAATTTCAAGTTAAGTTCGAATTGTAAAATACGACTCTTCAACTCGAATAACTCAAATTTTTTTTACTTGACTTGACTCGTCTCGACTCGATCGAACGTTTACCCTTAATTATATATATAACGGGTATAGGAGGTATCTTCCTCAAACGACAGCTGTGGCATTTTTGATAATGTCGAACTTTTCATTTTCCTTGAGATTATCTTGTTTAATGGTAAAACTCTTTTTGCATCTATGATATGTGGAGATCTATGTGACTTCTAGGACTCTACCGTTGCATAGGGCTGTAAATGAGACGAGACATCTAGCGAGCTACTCGATATCGACTCGATCAAAATTCGATCAACGCTCGAATCGAATGAACTTGCCGTGATGAGTCAAGTGAGACCCTGATTATTTTTTATCTAACCCTATTGAGCTTAATATTGTTTATTATATATCTCAACGCTCTGATCGATCGATATAGTAACACATACATAGTACGCTTTACTGCACTCGGAATAACGTTACTCATCCGAAGACAGTATAAAGAGTCCTATCACAGGATGCAACAGCACGGGCATGAAGACCCTTTTGAGTTTCTCCTTAAATTTGCACCAGGGTTTTTGTTCCTCGCTTCAGTCGAATCACTCGCTTTACTCTCAGCTTCATCCGAGGCAACTCGGTTAGAGGCGATCATCGCTTCAGTCGAATCACCCGCTTTACTTTCGGTTTCATCCGAGGCAACTTTGTTAGAGGCCATCAGAGCCTGCTGTTGTTGGAGGTGATCGGGGCTCTGGTAACTTTCATGTTGAGGCAGCTGCTGCTGGCTCGTGTCAGCGTCGCTGCTCGGTCGTCCATCTCCGTGATCTTCGGCCTGGTTACGTTGACGACCATCCATGAAAGGTAAAATTGCTTGTTTGTCTCAGCAACTTGGTTTGGTGCTTGATATTTATTGAAGATGAAATCAGAATCTTACAGTGAAAGATGATGAAATGGTTAGGCGTCATGCTTCAAGAATAAAGGCAAGGAACATTTATACCACAGTTGTTGCATTTTTTCGAACCTATCTTGCTAACTTTTTCTCCAAGAAACATTTCGGATTCGATACATATTCGGACATGAGTACGAGCTATGTTCTTTTAAATAAATTTTTTCCGAATAAAGTCGAGCATACTCGTGTCATATATTAACTCTCAAATTCGAATAATATTGAAAGATGCAGTGTTTAAACATGGCAAGGTTCTAATATTCAATATATTGATTAATTATTTAAAATATTATGGTTGTTTATGTTTTATCGATTATATTGTATACGTCGTAATTGAAGATATAACGGATATAATTATAAGAACATCAATCATTATTTAAGTATATGGTTTCGACCAATGAAAATAAGTAGAAAATAGAATATATTTAGCTAAAACCAGGTTAAAGTTTTTTTGTGCTTAACTCGAGTTTTAAACTTTAGTTTCGAGTCCGAGTCGACCTTAACAATTTTAAAATTGTGAACTTTTAAATCGATTCAAACTCAATTTTAAACTTTTTTAAATCAAGTCAAGTACAATAATATTCAAACTCGAAGCCCTACTCAGGGAGTAAGGAGCTATTGTATCTGTCATTTTTTTAGATATTAAATGAGAAAAATAAATATTTATCTAAAAAAATTCTTAAACTTGAACTTTTAGATTTTTTTATTACCGAAACACTTTAAAGTTATGCCACATCATCAAAAAATTAAAAAAATATTAAATATTATTAAAATTTTAAATTAATGTAAATAAAAAAAATTAGGAATCAAATTAAAAAATGTAAAAAGAATAAAATTTAATTTACAATATAAATTGACAAGTTCATACTAGCATCTAAAGTTTAAGTTGTCTTTGAATTGCCTTTATGCTTTCCAATATTCTTAATTATATTATGCTTATTCCAATTAACCTTTCCCCCTTTAACTCATATAAACATCAAATTTTAGTATGTATTATGTATTCAACCTTATCTTAAAAACTTCATGTAAATAAAAAAATTTGTAGTGTGGGTTCGAGAATCAGCGGCTGCAGCATGGTGATAGAGCGTTATCGTCAAATGGTTGAGAGTTTTTAGAACATATACTATTTTATAATCACCTTAACTTAATAAAAAAATTTGTAGTGCGCTGATTAGATGTACTACATTCTTAAGAAGAATATATAAATTTAAGTATTGTTTTAAAATATATATAAATATGCGAAATAATGTTATTAAAAGGGATAATTATAAATCTCGAATATAAACCGTAAAATAAACATGAAAGAGTTAATTTATATTCCCATAAATGATTAATGTGATTAAGGGATTGTTGTTATTCCTAAAAATCACGGGTTCGAGCGTTACATCTACAAGGATGTATGAGCCTTTATTTAGAGAATATAAACAATAATGGATAAGATTAATTAAACCCCATTTCACATCCTCCAAAAGTTCTATTCTTGAGGGGAAGAAACAGGGAGAATATAGTTCTAATTATCACAAAACATGGGACATGTGTATATGGATATGACTTGGTTCGAGTCGAGTTTCGATTCATTCGAATTTATCCAGAGTATTATATTTTCTATTCTTCATTTAATTTGACTTGAATTTGAAAAGATTTCAGTCGACTCGAAATTCAATCTAATTTTTGAGATAAAAACACACAATTCGAGATATATATATATATATATATATATATATTAGATAAAATAAAATTAACTGAAAATTAGAAGGATAATATTTTAAGAATTAATATTTATTATCTCAAATTGAATTTAATATATTATCTTATCCCTAAAACATAACATGGAAGGTTCCCCCAAAATAAGATAATAAAAATTTAATAATTCAAAAAATTAAACTAATCAATTAATCTTAACGATTAAAGAGGGTATATTAGCCCTAAAGATTTTGAGTTCGATCAACTATATTTGTAAGATGTGTACACATTATCGATAATTAAAAAGATTCTAAACAGATACTAACTTGTAACACTCAAACTATTAAAAGAATAAGAAAATTTAGAGTTTTTTTTTTATTTTTATCAATTGTTAATTTTTATTGATAATTTGATTATTATTAAATGGGAATATTCCTTTAAATTTTTATTAAAAATGGATCAAAATTGCCCCCATAGAGGTCAATCCACATGATAATGAGTATTCCTTGGGGTCCTTTCACCAAGAAAAATGAACCCATTTGTGTTTTCAGAAGACAAACTTTAACAGAAACTCTCTGCTATCTAGCAGCCTTTTCTGAGAGAATTTTGAGTTCTTTTGATTTAGTAGTTCTCTACTCTGTGGCGGTGTAACCTAAGGCTAATTTACGACGGGAAAATGTTATCCGTCCAATCTAAAAAGTTATACAATTAATAATAATTTCGATTACAAACGAAAATGTTATATTACGATATATTTTAACCTAAAACGTTACTTGTCTACTCTAAAAGGTTACACA